TAAACGACCCTCTTCTGCGACTCTTTCTCCCTCTGCAGAAGTGCCTGACATATGGGCAGATGTGCTTGACATATTTTGTGCAGAACCGGTCACGCTGATCGTGGAAATGGAGTAAGATGAAATAGTTTCATTAATTTCGCCATCTTGATTGTCTGTGGCCTGGTTGATGGTTCCGTTTTCTTCTTGTCTGTTGCGGTAAATCAGTTGACGGTCTGTTGTTCTGTAAATGATGAGCAATTATTTAATTTTCTTCGAAAAGTGGGACTGGAAGGGATTATTTCGTTATCCATGCATCAATCTAGACTACAGAGGTAATTCGGAAATGTGAAAATGCTAGTGAGATAATTTATGCTCAAAATCAGGGGTATCAAACTCGCGGGACAATTTTTCGTTAGGCTACCATCTTGAGGGCCATTAAGGTTCATACCTGGCTTCCCAGGATTACGTTGCGAAAATTGGTACTATGTACTTGCACATAGTTTATTTTATTTATCAGATTTTAAATAGTGATGTCATTGGTAACAAATTGTATATGACGCTATTTTCCTTCATGACGATCATAATTTCACAGGCTAATAATTGTGACAAGCTGCATGATCGTCCCAGGGAACACAGCTGCCCGCGGACCAAGAGTATGACACCCCGCTCTAAATCTTTCTGGCCATGTACTATAGAGAATATAGCAGTATTATCATTACTATTATTATCACTAACACCCCTGATCTCAGTCTTTCTGACCGTATACTAGAGAGCAGTTTTATCATCATTATCATTCAAAATAGTTGTAGTTGTAGCCGTAGTAGTAGTAGTAATTGTTGAGCTTGTTGCTGTTATAGTAATGATTGTATTAGTAGTAGTAGTAGTAGTAGTGTAGTAGTAGTAGTGTAGTAGTAGAAGTGTAGTAGTAGTAGTAATGTAGTAGTAGTAGTAGTAGTAGTAGTAGTAGTAGTATACTAGTAATAGTAGTAGTATAGTAGTAGTAGTAATAGTAGTAGTAGCAGCATCAGCAGCAGTAGCTGTCGTAGTAGAAAAAATAATAACAAATAAAATAATGACAAAGACAACGTTAGACTCAAAATCTAGCCCGTCAGATTTTTTAGAATGACAGAATAGTTAAGCTATTTCCCGTTGGTGTAAAGGATACATACGTTATTTGTTCTCATGCACCGTCTACAAACATTATATTTCAAACCATAAATGTATATCTTCTTTCCAATCTCCGCATTCAAAACATACATCATACATAAAAAAACAAAGATTTCATATCTTGACCTGCACTCATAGACACTTAAAAGTCCAGTAAAACGAACAAAAAAAGATGTTTGCGTGCTAAAATTCCCAATTGCATAACAGTACTCGAAAGCTTACAAATCTAGACTTTGCTCTCGATAAACCTGCATTTTACTGTTGTGAAATGTTCAAGTGATAATGGCAGTGGAACCATAAAGAAAACTCGAATCTTTGTGCTATCCCGGCCAACTGACGTCTCTCACTGAGCTGATACGAAAAGAGATAAGATATTCAGTACCATTGTTTTCATATGTATTGCATGGGAATGTAACGGTTATGCAACGTTTATGTGCGTTTTTGTGTTTATATGTGTGTTTGTGGGAAAATGTGACTGTGTTTATATGTGTTTATTTGGGTGTTTATGTGCCTGCGTGTGTGCGTGTTTGTTTGTTTGAGTGTGATTGTTATCTGACTGAGAGTGTGCGAAGAAGCTCATTTAATTTTAGATTCAATAATTTTGACCGTAAATCGTCGTTGTAAATACGAAAGTAATCTTGGTTTCTTTACCTTTTTATTTTTCCTTTTTTCTATTTCTCTCTTTCTATTCTTTCTGTTTCCGTGTTTTATTCATCTAATATTCATTGATGCCTATTCATTTTATGACACCCTTTTTGTTCAGTGCTATGGTCAGGAACTAGACTGCATTTGATGATAATCCATATCTTGTTGTCCAGATTATGGGGTACGGTTAGAGGAGTGATAAGTATGTATCTGTATGAATGAGATTTTTCCTTTAATTTTCTTTAATTAAAGAAAAAAACTCATTCACATAGACAAATACTTATCTTTTAAATTTAAATTTAAATTCCAACTGTACCCATAATCTGAATAGCAAGATGCAGTAATGATATATATACATACGTATATATATATATATATATATATATATATATATATATATATATATATATATATATATATATATATATATATCATGTAATTATATATATATATATATATATATATATATATATATATGTAAAATATATTTTAAGGGAGGGAATATATCGTTTTAGATATATAAATATAAACTCTCTCTCTCTCTCTCTCTCTCTCTCTCTCTCTCTCTCTCTCTCTCTCTCTCTCTCTCTCTCTCTCTCTCTCTCTCTCTCTCTTCTCTCTCTCTCTCTCTCTTCTTCTCTCTATCTCTTTCTCTTTCTCTTTCTCTTTCTCTTTCTTTTTCCTGCTCTTCTCCTTCTTCTCTCTCTTC